CGCGGGTCTGGAACCCGCGGGCTCAGGCCATCCACTCACCTCAGCCTCCCAAAGGCGCGGGATTACAGGCTGAGCCACCGAGCCCGCCGAAAACTTTTAAGATTAAGGACTATAACCTGTTTAGCGCTGCCTGATCTGTTCTTATTTTTGCAAATAATCCTGAGGAATGTGAAGCTGTAGGTCTTTTATATCTTGATTAGATCAAAGAAATATGAGTCAGATGACAGTAAATTGAAGCATAAAAACCCACAAAATTGTAATGTGTAGACATCACTGTATTAAAATGGGCTACTAAAATAAACCCTAATAAGGTGTACCATTTGTGGCTTTAAGAAATTTGTGTGTGTGTGTCAAACTCTTACTCTCACTTAGGCTGGAGTACAGTGGCAGATCATGGCCTGCTGGGCTTCGGTGATCCTTCCACCTCAGCCTTCCAAGTAGCTGGTACTACAGATGTGCACCACCATCCCCACTAATTTATTTATTGTGGAGATGAGGTCTTACCATGTTACCCAGGCTGGTCTTGAACTCATGGGCTCAGTCCATCCTCCTACCGCATTTGGTTCCCAAAATTCTGGGATTACAAGTATAAGCTACTGCACCGGGCCTGAAAGTTTTTTTTTTTTTTTTTTTTTTTTAAGACAGGGTCTTGCTCTGTTGCCCAGGCTGGAATGCAGTGGTTTGATCATAGCTCACTGTAGCTTTGACCTCCTGGGCTCAAAGCTACAGTGCCTCAGCCTCCTGAGTAGCTGGGATTTGAGGTATGTATCACCACACTCAGCTGACTTTTTTCATGTTGTAGAGCTGGGGTCTTGCTATGTTGCCCAGGCTGGTCTCAAACTCCTGGCCTCAAGTGATCTTCCCACCTTAGCCTCCCAAAGCATTGGAATTACAGGCGTGAGCCACTACATCAGACTGCAGTTTTAAAAATTATATATGTATTATTTATATGTATGTATACACATATATTTTATATTTTCATGGAGACTTCCTTGATGAAATTGTTACAGAGATTGCCCTGAGGAGAAGGGCTGAAGGTCTGGAGTAGAAGGGAGACTTAACTTTGTAGAAATTCTTAAAAGAAATATTTTGTTTTACCATGTGCATGCTATCACTCTTTCCCCTTTTTTTGGGGGAGGGAGTCAGAGTCTTACTCTGTTGCCCAGTCTGGAGTGCAGTGGCACACTTCCGGCTACAGCAGCCTCAACCTGCTGGGCTCGGGATCCTTCTGCCTCAGCCTTCCAAGTAGCTGGAACCACAGATGTGCACCACCACGCCCAGCGAATTTTTAAAATTTATTGTAGAGACGAGATCTCACCAAGTTGCCCATGCTGGTCTCGAACCCCTGGGCTTGAAATCCTCTCGCTTCTGCCTCCCAAAAGTGCTGGGGTTACAGGCTTGAGCCAATGCACTCGACTCATTTTTTAAAAGTAGCTATTGTACTGAGTGACCTCTCACAGAAACAAAGATCCGAGTATCACATGTTCTCACTCATATAATGGACCTTGAACATCCAATGTAATACTATAAGAAAATGACTGACGGTACTGGGAAACTATG